GGGTTGAAAAATCCATAATCTTTAAAACCCCTCATACACGCTGGCTTCTGGGGTGCCCGGGGGTTGGGGGCTAACGCTCACCTGGGGATCAAGGTCTTTGGTTCGGGTCCTATGCGCCGGGGGCTTTTTAAATGCCCTTTGATTTTCGGTTTGACCCCCTTGAGGGGGCCCCAGGTAAAGTCCGGGAAAGAAAAAGGGGGCTACGTGATCGACACTCACCCACTAGTGCCGATTGTCTGTTAATTTGAATTAAAAATCGACTTATAGCACTCTGGACCAGCCAAAAGCGCGCCGTTCCCTCTTCATCAAAACGAAGAGTTCAATTTCCGAGGGTCCCAGTCTGTCAAATTGTATTCCTCTCGCCTTCTCTTGATGTTGACCGTGGGCCTAATCCCTGGAAACTCCTCGCAGCGCCTTAATTCCCTTGCTATAAAAGTAATCTACCCTTTGTCCCAATCCCTTTTTGCCTTTTTTCTGGGGGAAGATGTAACAAATCCCCAGCCCTTCTGCTCACGTTCTCTGCGCATCGTAAAAACCTTTTCTCTCCGCATTGTTCCTTGCTACCGCATTTTTCCTTGCTCCGCATTGTCACTTGCTACCGCTTGTTCTTTTGCCCGCATTTTTTCACTTGCTACCGCTTTGTTCACTTTGCTCCCCGCTTGGTTCATTTTGCTACCGCTTGTTCCCTTGCACCGCTTTTTGTTCACTCGCTCCGCATTTTCATCGCTACCGCTTGTTCACCGCTTCAAGGGCCCTGATCTTCTGCTTTCTCGGGTTTCCCAAAACCATTGGTGCTGCGGCCCCTTCTTGCTGCCGTTCGTTCCCCCCCACACCTAATTTCGCGGGAAAAGTCCCAAAAGGAGCTGGCTACCGAATATTCAAGGCGAACTTGCCCCTCCACGGTGTGTTTTTAATCACATTGCTCAGTTCTCACCCTTTTCATTTACTACCCCCTTTTTCCCGGGTTTTAAAAGAAAAAAAACATTATTCTTTAACACAATCCAAACTATTTGAAATTATTAAAAAACCGTTTACATGCCTCTTACACACACAAATAATTAAAAAACCCCACTTTCCCCTAATTTACTAAAACTGTTTTTTTTTTTTTTTAAATTGGTATAATTTTAAACCCCCTTTTTTTCAATTTGGTTAGTTTCGTACCCTTTTCAGGGCTCGCCAAACCCCGCAGCCCCTTTTTGTGGTTTTTTCCCGGGAAATTTACTCCATTGTTTTCCCTGTACCTGGACGGTCGGGGTCTTGATACCCCTTCGAAACCCAAAGCAAGGGGCATGCCCCACTGGGATCACCCCCCGGTACCCCCCATTACGAACTTCGCCCCCAAATTAGCCACGAGCCGACTACTTTTTTAGACTTATGTTTTTTTTTTTGCCTTTTTGTTAAAAATGTATGAATGAAATTACTTGAATGAATGTGTAGAAAGGAAAAAGGTAATCGAGAGATGTGAAAACCCGTCATTTCACACGGTTTAAAACCATTAGGGCTCTGCGCCATACGCTTGAAAGAAACTGTCCGCCCGTGTCGCCGTCCACACTAAAACCAAAATTTTTCATTACCCCCGAGTGTTAACTCTGGGACCCACTACCTACACAGTGAACCCGGGAACCGCTCGGGTTTGCCACGGGCCGGGGCTGGGTTTTAAAACAAGTCTCCCAAGCTGCGCACCGGGGCCCCTTTTAAAATGAGCTAGAAGGACACAAAATAGACGTGCCGCGTGCCAAATTTCCCCCCCTCTGACAATAAAATTCGTTCGCTAGTTTGTTTTGTTCATAGTTGGGGTTTTTTGCAATCACGTGTGTGCATGAACAAAACACATTTAAACTTTCGTGAAAAGCGCGGCGGGCCCGCATCTCCGACCCAAATAATAATTCCAAATGTATAAAAACCAGGAAAAGTCCCAACAAAATCTGTGAAAAGGGTCGCCATACTCGGTGGGTCTCACTCCTGGAGTTCCTTTCAAATAATTTTCGACAAAATTTAAAACCCACGACCCCTTTACATCTGCCAGCGAGTCACTGACCCGAATCCCTGATTAAAAAATGTTTTTTGTCATTGCAAAATGTAAATTAGGTTTTTGTTTTGGAAACACTTGTAAATTTATCGTCAGCCTTTCCGTGTGAAAACTGCCCTCTTTTTTCTGAAAAGCTTTATGTTTTTGTCGGCCATCCTGTAGGTGAACAAAAAGGCAGTTTCACCCACAATAAATAATAAAAAAATGAAACCCAGTAAACGTATTTTTCTTGTGTGTGTCAAGTGACTGACCGAACAGTTTTTCCCTTCCCCCGCAACTCTCAAAATAATCACCCAGACACAATCCGCATAAAAAAAAAAAAAAAAAGACCCTTTCCGCCTTTTCGGGGCATCCGGGAAGGACGTACAAAAACCTGTTCAAACTCCAACTAAATTTTAATTTGGGCCCCGTTCTAGTGTGTGGGCAACACCAAATAACGCCTCTCCCAAAAAGCTGTGTAAAGTCGCTGATTGGAGACCCCCTTCAAAATTTAAATGTTCGCCTAGATTTAAGGGGCCAACGTCTACACACAAATAAGTCAATCTTTTATTGATTGTGCCGCAAAAATCAGGGTTTTTAACAGACTTAATCGGAGGGGGCGAAAAACCCTCACTTGGGTGGTGTGTGGATGGGATGTAGATGAGATGTGGGTGGTGATTGATGGGGGTGGGGGGGATGTGGGTGGTGAGTGGTTTTATGTGGGTGGTTTGGATGGGTTTATGTGATGTGGTGTTTGAATTTATATGGATGGGGAGGGATGGTGATGTAAAGGGGGAGTGATGGGGATTAATGGTGGGAAATTTAACGCTGATGAATGTGAAGAAGAAGAGAAGGAAAAAAAGAAGAAGACGAAAAAAGAAGAAAAAAAGAAAAGAAAAAGAGAACAACGCAGCACAACAAAAACCACTGCTGCAGTCTCTATGGGGTTTTAGTATTTCTCGAAAAAAAAAAGTATTTGCTCCAAGACAAAAAATTTTTATTCAAATAATTAAATTTTTATACAATTTCAGATTGAATAACTGAATAATCTTTAAAAATCTGTCTTCCATGGCACTTGGATTGTATCTCTTTCGTCTCCTCTCTCTCTCTCCTCTTTTTTCAAACCAAGTATTTTGTTTAACCCTTTTCAATATACTTTCCAAAATACGCTACACATATTCAACAACCCTCTTTCTAAATTTAAAATTTTTGGCTGCGAGGGGGGATGGGGGGGTAAATAGCAAATGTCTGCATGTGGCGACCCTGGGAAAAAACCGTTTTTTTTTTAATTTCGTCACTTCGACTTCTGTTTTCATTGTCTATTCATTGATAATTTTTCAAGGGGTGGGGAGGGGGGGGTGGTGGGGGATGGGGTGAATGGGATGTAGATGGTGATTGGATTGGGTGGAGATGTTTTAGATGGGGGTAGATGGTATTAGAGGGGGGTGGATGGGGATGTAAAGGGGGATTAATGGGGTTGGGGGGGGTGGTGGTGGATGGTGATGTAGAGGTGGGGTTTGAGGTGAGTGAGGTGAGTAAAAGGTGATTAATGGGGAGTAGTGGTGTGTAAAAGGGGATGTAGAGGGGTGTGGGGTGAGTGGGGGGATGTAAAAGTTTGGGGATGGGGTGTAGATGGTGATGTAATGGGGATTGGTGGTAATGTAATGGGGAGTGGGTGGTGATGTAAGGTATGTGGATTTTGATTAATGGTGAGTAATGGTGGTAGATGGTGGGTTGTGGTGATGTAGATGTGATTTGATGGGGTGTGGGTGGTGAGTAATGGTGTGTAGATGGTGTGTGGTGGGATTTGTGGGGATGTGGGTGGGATGGGGGATTGAGGTGAGTGGTTGGTGTGTGGATGGTTGTGGGGATTGATGTAATGGTGGAAATGGGA